GCCAGGAATCGGCTGATTCCGAGCTCACACCCAGTCCCAGATACTGCACTTCTGCTTTTAAAACGTATTAAGAGCCTGCCACTCTTAATGCATTCAAAAGGTTGGTGTGCTGTGGGGGGACCTGGCGCGAGCCAGGAATCAGCTATCGTGGCTTGTGGCAGGTCCCTTCCCTCCCACCCCTCACTGAGCTTCTACCGGCTCTTAATACATTTAAAAGGCAGAAGCACAACAGGGTTAGCTCCTGGGGCCAGGAGCTGATCCTGCTGCAGCTCCCCTGATTATCAACTAATTGACTAGTCGATGGAAATTCCATCAACTAGTCAATTAGTTGATTAAACATCCCTATTAGAGATTAGGGATGTTAAAATGCAGTTAATTGACTAGTTGAGTAGTTGATGGAATTTCGGTTAATTGTCTAGTCATGGGGTTCTCAAACTTGTGATATCGCGACCCCCCTCTCAGTTGCTCGCAACCCCCCTCTCCACTGCTGCAACCACCCTCTCAGTTGTTCACGCCCCCCTTTAAATTGCTCGGGACCCACAGTTTGAGAAATGCTGGACTAATGGATAGGCACTTACGCATCCCTGACCCTAGTTCCACGTGGCATTTCAGCAGAACCTGGGATCAGCTGGGGACTCTTCATCTGACTCCGGGTTCTGGGAAAATGCCGCACGGAGCCTGGGATCAGCTGGGGAGTCCCCCGGCTGACCTCGGATGCCACAGCTGCCCCTTTGAAACGTGCGGAGAAGGCATTTCAAAGGGGCAGCTGCTGCATAGCTGATCCCCGGCTCAGCTGTGCGGCGCTGCCCCTTTGAAACGGCGCTTGGAAGCATGGCTGAAATACTATAGGGAGCTACTCCGTAACATCCCAATTAGAGATTAGTTTAAATCCTGAAGAAAGAGGTTTTATATCCCTTCCAAAACTTCTTTCTAGCATTAACTGTCATAGTTGATAATACCCACAATGCTGGGGCAATTCCTTTTCTCTTCCATATAGTTATAAAGGGAACCAGGGCTGAGGACAGAAATGCCAAGCCCCTGAGAGAGGGGATGGGAGGACTAGCTCTGCTCTAGCCACCCCACGCAGCCAGGGGCTCCAGCAGCAATTTTAAAGGACTCTGAGCTCTGGGTGCTGTCATGACTGTAGTTGTAGTGGCAGCAGCCAGAAGCTGCAGGCTCTTTTAAATCACTGGGCCCCAGTGCAGCTATCCTCTTTGACTCCTCCCCAGTGGCTCTGAAGGGAATAAAGATTGTTCTAATAGACAAAAGGGTGCATTTGTAACAAGTGAAAGAAGCAGAAATAAAAATTTCTTTTGCTGCTCCTTTGTGATGAACAGTGGAGGTTTGCTATAGCTGTAAGCAACATGGACAACCATTTCTATTCCTAAAAAGCAAAAGCTCTTTCACCTGGAAAAGCTGTGGTGACTACCTGGTATGTACACTCCCTGCCTCTCCAGGTCTGCATGCCACTCCAGCTACTCTACAGTTTGGTCCTGGAACATGACATCAAGGTTGGGAGTTCAGAGATGGAGACCGCAGGGGCTTTGCAGCTGAGAGAATATTACCAGGTACTGTGTCTCCTGCTCAGGGCAGACAGTCTAAGCTCACTGGTGCTCAAGGGCCCACTGATCTTGTGGGAACTAGATGCTCTGATCTGACCCAAGAAACAGGAAGGAAGTTCACATTCAGCTTTGGGGAAAGGGAAGTTACTTCCCAGCAGGGCAGCATCTGGGGAGCTTTGGTTTCTGATCTCACAGCATTGGCTGCCAGAGCTGGTGGTAACCTTACACTGTCTCTCTCTTTACCTTCCCATGACTACTATCCATATGGTATCTCAGCTGTCTCAGCTCAACAGTGACAGTGAGAGAGCCTCAGCTTGTCTCTCGGGGCTAGGTGGACTCTGCAGTGCCTTCTTGCTAGAGAACTGCAGGCATTTGCACTGGAGTGACTGGAAGGCAACAAATCCAGGACCTATTCACAGTCCCTTTCCAGAGCTGAACTTCATGGCAGCCCAGCCCACGCATTATTCCATGCATCCAGGATGGCCAGACCTTGGCAAGGGGGATCACACACTCCATAGCTTGGTGCTTCACTCTGCAGGGTCCCAGGCACATCTGTGTGTAGTAGCTCACTGAGAGAGAAACGGGCTAGGAGGGTCTGTCCCTACTCCACTATTCCTCTCTCTGGTGTGCATGTGCAAGGGGGAGAGAGAGACCCACCCACAGTCTGGAACTAGTTTGAGCTTTAGGCTGCAGTGGCAGTTAGAGTGTGTCTGCACTGCAGCTGGCCTGGGCTCACTGACTCGAGTTTGGGGGGCTCGGGCTTGGGCTGTTTCATCTCAGTGCAGATGTCCAGGCTCAGGCTGGGTCCCAGCCAGAACATCTGTCACAAACAAACAGCCCCACAGTCCAAGGTCTGGAAGCTCAAGTCAAGTGGCGTAGGCCAGCCATGGGTGTCTACTTCATGTGTGACTTCCTATCTCACATAGGCCAGAGGGCTCTGGAGTGCCTGCGTCAAACCCTGCAGCTTGTGACTATGCTAGCATGTAGGTCAGTGGCTTTCACTTGTACCTGTTCCCTTGCAGCCACTCGCAGCCAAGAGGAATGAAATTGAGAAGTGGAGGAAAGAATTCAAAGAGCAATGGCTAAAGGAACTGAAAAGAATGGTAAGAGCCTGAGAGAGAGCAAAGCCAGTGACAGTTGCAGGCCCAGAACATTGAGAACATGGGCCCTTTAAGAGCCTGTAGGGAGAAATGCTGCCAGCAGCCTTACCAGGATCTCTTCATCCTGCTCTACTGTGCTGCCAGGTGGCAGGGTCCCAGAGCTGGAGCTGCAGCCTGAGCCCTACAATTAAACATCCCCTTAATCTGAGCCCCATGAGCCTGCCAGCCACAGCTGTCTAACTGCAGGCTAGCCAGACTCACATGCTCTGAAGCCCAGTGGCAAGCATCATTAATATGTAAATAGCTGGAGGTGTACAATGAGAATGGTGCTGCATCAGAGCTGCATTATCAGGAGGGGTGAGCACAGGGCTAGGGGTCAGGCAATGCTAATTTCTAGCCCTACTCCTTGGGTTTGTAAGTGATGTTTGCATAGAGTCCACTCTACAGTCTGACTCCTGGCTATCAAGAGCCTTAGGGTAAGTGACACTAGGCACCCAGGAACCAGATGCTTTTATGATTTGTGATTCCACCCTCCTTCTCTGCTTCCAGAATGATTCCCTGTCATCCTTGCGCAAATCCCGCCTGCATTACATACAGCGCTGTGAGGAGCTGGAGAAAGCAAAGCTGCTGAGCGCCAAGGCGGAGGATGAGTACCAGAGCACAGCAGCAACCCACGCTGGCAGTGCCAACAAGCAGCTGGAGAAACGGCGCCGCTCACGTGAGGAGGCACAACTGAAGGTGAGGGGCTTGTATCACAGAGCCTGCTGTCTCATACTGGGGAATAAACACAACACACTTAGAAGGCACTTGCAAAGTTGGGTACTAAGTAAAATATCGTGAGGCTATTGGGTTCATCCTTTGCTGCTGGGATGTATTGTTAAGCAGGGCTTGGACTTGAGTTTTCAGCCTTTCATCATTCTGGATACCCTTTGCTTGTTCCCATTTTGGGGATCTACAAAGGCAACTGAGTCCAGAAGAGTTTGTGACCCCGAAGAAGCTTATTTCTCATGTAAAGAGGGACATTCAGTGCTCGGTAGAGACCCGGCAAGCTGAACAGCTAGTGTTACTACTGAATGTGCCGCAGAGGAATGCAGAAAGCTCCAGTGGCACAGATGGGTCTTGAAGTCACTAGCCTGTTAATTAGAGATGACCAACAGTTTTTGAATCCAAAGTTTTATTTTGTCTAAAAATAGCCTTTTTTCCCAAAAAACAAACTTTCATGAAAAATTGTTTGCTATTGCTGAATTTTTTAATTTTTTTGAAAATATTTTCCTATCTTATGATTGTTTTCAACAAAAATATTGAAAATCAGCACTGAGATTTAATATAAATGCTTCATAAACAACCCTGTAGCTCCATCTCGCTCATCTCCCGTTGTGTTCTGCATTATCTCATGTCACCTCCACTTGTGGCTGCACTGTGGTCTCTGGCCCATCATTCCCAGGGTTCCTGACCTGTCATTGCTTCTTCATTCTTTATTTTGCTATACCCAGGTTCAGGAAACCGAAGCTTCTTACAAGATGTGCATCAATGATACCAACTTTCGTCGGCAGGAGTTGGAGAAGGTGCGGGAGAGGATTATCTCCCACATCCGGAAACTCATTTATCAAGGGGATGAGGTGCTGAAACGGGTGCGTATGACACTGCTCTGCCACTTGCCACAGGCATAGGAAGTCATCAGTCAGGACAGGTCATCTGGTCCTTCTCTACTTTGCAGATGATAACCCTTCAAATGGTGGTTTGAGAGCATTATCAGAACTGAGTTCATACCTTTTCATGCTGACTTTGTAAGGATCTGTGGTTTCATACATAGCAGTAGTGACCACAGACCTCCTGCATCATCAGAGGAGTCTGTGGGACAAGGCTGAATCTGGTGACAGATGATGGAGACAAAAACAGAAACTAGAGAGCAGGCTCATCCTGTATCTAGTGGGTGAAGCCCTCTCTTGGCTTGCCCAGAGAAGCCCTCACCAGCTTCACCATGATTGTGACTAAAATAGGGATGTTAAGTTGCAATGAATTTGCTAATTGAGTAGTTGATGGAATTTCCATCAACTAATCTATTAGTTGATGGGAGAGTGTACGCTACCCCTGCTGTGGCTGTGCAGTTTAATGTAGTAGGAGCTGGGCGCGCAGTCATCCCGGATCCTACTACATTAAAAATGCAGAGCCACAGCAGGGTTAGCTCCTGGGACTAGGCAGTCCTCGCTTGTGCCACCCCCAGGAGCCAACCCTGCTGCGGCTCTGTATTTTAAATGTAGTAAGAGCCCTAGTGGGCTCTTGCTATATTTAAAAGGCAGAGCTGCAGCCATCCGGAAGCTGACGTGAGCTGGGTCCACTTAGTCTTGGCTTGCATGAGCCCCGGAAGCTACCCCCACTGCACCTCTGAATTTTAAATGTAGTAAGAGTCCATTGGGGCTCTTACTACATTTCAAATGCAGAGCTGCAGCCAGAGTAGCTTCGAGGGCTAGAGCAGTCCCGGCTTGCCCCGGCTCGGGGACCACTGCGGCTCTGCCTCCCCTGCCCATCCTCCACAAGGCAGAGACGGTGCTGGGGGTGGAAAATGGCTTTTAGGCCAGCTCCCCCCAACACCGGTCCTGCTTCCCTTCCTCCCCATTGCTGCCTCCGACCCCGAGGCAGAGTAGTCAACTCGACTACCCAATAAGCATTGGTTTATCAGGAAGTCGTCTACTCCCTTACATCCTTAGTCTAAAATACAGTCCCAACAGCAGCTGTCAATGGGGAAGGGGCCTGTGTTTTGACTGGCTTATATGAAGACTTATTTAAATTAAGTTCAGTTCTTTGTGTAATTTAATTAATAAAGTGAAACTAAAAGGCTAGGCAGATGTATCAATAAGTACAAAAGTGTGAGTAACTTCAGGGGCTGTGCAGGAGCCTTGCTCACAATCTGAACTGAGTACACCAGGGAAGAGAGGATCACTTGGGCCAAAGGTGTTTCATGCTTTTTGGGATTCCCATAAGGTCACCTTGAGGATGTTCAAGTTGCAGCAGAACCAGACGGAGAAGATTCCAGAGGGGTACGAGAACATGACCGAGTACTGCAAGCCCTACAAAGTGGGTGAGAAGTACCTGGAATTCATTCAGAAGCTGAAAAAGAAAGAGATCCCCATGGAGGTGTTTGAATTTGAAGCATTTATTCCTGCAGGGAGGAGGTAAAAAATGCAGAACCAGAGCTGGTGGCTCCATGGCTTGAAATGTATAATACGCTGACTAAAAAGACTCGTTTAGAACATTTTAGGCTGTAAAGTCACTTGTGATACTTCAGGGTTATTAATAATAATAAGATTTTAACAAGTACCACAAGCCAGAATGCAGAAGGCTGTATTCTTCCCTTGAGGGCTCTACATGGCTTCCACTAACATAAGCAGAGAACAAACCCCAATGGATTACTTGGTTTCCTTGTGATGGTCAATAAGTCTTAGAGCCCACAGTAGGATGATTTGGCCCAGCTGTGTACCCCAAGTCATTTCTCTCACTTTTGTAATGAATTGATCCTCACTATCTCAGATGTAGGATGTTTGATTTCCAAACTACCTATCTCTATGTATTTCCTGTAGAAAAAAATGAGGGAAATTATATTAAATTTAGTTATATTGAAATTAATAGGAAACATGTTTATTACAAACATAAGGAAGTACTTCTTCACACAATGCACAGTCAGCTATGGAACTCATTGCCAGGGGATATTGTGGAGGCCAAAAGTATAACTAGATTCAAAACAGAATAAGGTATGTGCATGGAGGCTAGATCCATCAATAGTTATTAGCTTAGATTGTCAGAGATGCAACCCCATGCTCTCGTATCCCTAAACTTTTGATTGTTAGAAGCAGGACCTGGACAACAGTGGATAGATCACTCAGTAATTGCCTTGTTCTGTTCATTCTCTCATAAGCCTCTCTGCGAGGATATTTGGCTAATCATGTAGTTGATACAATTTGTGTTGACTACATGATTACTCAATAAAGGGAGCCACTCTGCAGAACCACAGCAGTGATACCTCCTAGAGCCAGCATGAGCCGGGACTGAGCAGACCCAACTTGTGCCAACTCTGGACCACTGTGGCTCTACATTTTAACTGTAGTAAGATACTCCGGGCTCTTACTACATTTAAAGTGCAGAGCCACAGCACAGGTGGTTTCTGGAGCCGGAGCTCCAGCCACCCCCCATCTTCCCTCCCCCCACTTCTGATAGAGGCAGCAGGGTAAAGGGTCAGGCAGCACTGGGGGCTGGAGGGGACCAGCTTTTAAGCCAGCTTTTTCCCTTCTTGACTACCCGATAAGCTTAGCCCTACTGGGTAGTTGAGTACACAACTAATCGCTTACATCCCTACCTCTAAGAAGACAGGATACTGGTCTAGATGGACAATTGCTCTGACCCAGTGTGGCCATTCTGATGGCCTTAGTATTAACTGTCAATCTGGTGTTCTTTTGCTCTAGGTGTCTTTGAAAAATCCAGCCTACCTATAAAACTACCTATAAAATCCCAAATGCAAGGATCTGGTCATCTCATATGTCTCTAACGCCATACGTACCTCTATGGTGCAATATTTGTTGTATTATTTTATTGCTAACTAATGAAAGCCATTTTAAAAAATTAAAACACAAAATACCCCCTGCTTGTTCATTTCATTTGAAGCATAGTTGTGGTTATGTTGGTCCCAGCCTTTTTCTGTATAGCTCAAAAGTTTGCCTCTTTCACAATCAGAAGTTGGTCTAGTAAAAGAAATTCCCTCAGCTACCTTGTTTCTCTGTATTTCATTCTTAGGTCTCCTCCTAGTGGCAGAAAAAAGAATGCTGTGCAATATTCCTGCATCTCGTCCTTTGCAACCGATCAGAGCAGCTTCACTGAAGATGCATCAGGAAAGCAGTTTTCCACAAACAGTGAACAAAGTAGGTTTCTTTAAAAAATAAACTTTGTTCACTGCTGCTTGAGTCACGTGTGTATAGCCAAGAAGAGCAAGGACCAGTTAGCCTATAACTTCTGGAGTTGGAGCCCAGGGCTCACTCCAGGCTGGGACTGTGTGGTTTGGCTGCTGCAATTTTATAGAAAGAGATTTAGGTTCATGAAAATATGATCCCTGATTGAATCAGAAAATTGTACTTTTATGTCACAAAGTATCCAGTTTTATTCACTCCCCGCCCACATGCATGTTAGACACCAGGTGTATTCCAAAAAAAAATCTCAACGTGAACGTCATTCCGAGTGTAATCAGGAGATGCTGTCCTGGACAAGGCAGGTGCCCGACTGTCACACTGAATGTAATCTTTTTGCACAGTTCATAAACCTTACAGCATTTTAATAAAGGTACAGACCTGCTGTTTCATGGCCTATGTACCTTGGAAGCTCATGTCCATGTGGTGTGTGACCTGAAATGGAGATTCTGTTCTGTGAAAACATTATGGATTTTCTGGCAATTTGGGGGTTGGGAACATCCTGTTTGCTATCAGACCCCTTTCTTGTAGTATGGCTTTTATAACTCCATGTTTGATGTCATGCCTGACTATATCTCTATGCAAACCACCTTAGAGTGGGCTGGGATAGGCAGTGTCATCAGTAGTTATTGCATTTATTTATTTTAAAATATTTTTATCCCGCTTCTCTATTTAAAATATTCAAGGCAGCTTACAAAATTTTAGAACATAACATATAAAAATCAAAATAGTAGAATAAACGAAAAGACGCCAAGAGAGGGCATAAAATCTACTAAAACACACCAAGAGGAGGGGCAACACCTTCCTCCCACACACTCAGACTCAAGTCTTCTCTTGGCATTCCTTCAGTCCAGCCCCCGAGTGGTACAGTGTGTTCTCAAGTGTTACATTCTTCTCCCCTAAATCATCAGGTTTCATTGCAGGTTTAACACCCCATTTCAACCTCTTACAATTTCTCTCAAGGACATTTTGGAAACAATCTCACTATGGTAGGAAATAATTGTCCTTAACCATTTTCTGGCACAAGAGGACATTTCCTAACGGTCTTTAAAAAGCAAAATGCCTCCAGATTACTCTTTGGATTATCAGGCTCTCGTCCTGCCTGTGTTTCTATTTTAAAAGACATTAGCAGGAAAATCTGTTGTTCTGAGGCACTGTCAGGAAGGGCAAAGACCCTGGCAGATATGGACGGGGTCATTTAGCGACTGCTGTTGAGAACTGAGTCAGTGTATTGAGATGATCTGTCTACTCTCCTTTGCCTTTTACAGGTGCAAACAAATCCTACAGTGACACAGAGAGCCTGGGTGGGAGCTGGGAATCCCGGTCCCTGGACTCTCCCACCTCCAGTCCAGGTGAGAAGAATGGCACCTTCTGCCTACTATTCATACCAACAAAAAGCATCGATGGAAATTAAATGTTGATTTGGAGCTTTTTTGTACTTTATAGAAAACATAAACACGTAAGTAAATTACATCTTGTATTTTGTAAAATGTAAAACCTTTCCTCCTTGTCTCCAGGGCACCAGTCTAGGAAGTTGCTAAAAGCTTCATCCACAGGCACCATGTCCTCGTCCGATGATTTTGAAGAGAGAGATTCTTCTCAAACATATGAAAATGGTGAGCAATAAAAAAACCCTCAATGACTGATAAATAAAACAGTAGGAGGCTGTCCTGCACCCCTAATGCTTAAGCTTCTGCAGAGGTGACAAACTCAGGCCCGGGGGCTGGGTCAGGCCCACCAAGCATTTCTCTCCAGCCCACACAGCTGATTAGCAGAGGTGCATACTTACAGCTGGCAGCCTGTGTTCAGCTCTCCCTCCCGACCTTGCTTCATCCTGTAGCAGAGCTTCTCCCAGGATTCTTCTGCTAGCTGTGCAAACCTGGGGATGGAGGGGAGGGGGGAGTGCTGAAGTCAGGGTGTTCCCTTGCCCCTATGCCCCATCTCCTATGAGTAAGGGTCCCAGAGGGAGACACGCAGTTAGCAGAGCTGCTCCAGTCTAAAGTATGTGACTCAGAGAGTCAGAGGAGTGCCGAGGGGGAGAAGAGAAGAGACGAGAGCAGGGCAGATCATGTCTCCTCTCAGAAACATAGCCAGCACACACACACAGTCTGTGCCATACAGTGACTGTGTGTGTGTGTGGCACAGACAGTCACATACACTGTGACACACACACTCTCCTATCTCGGTGCCACACACACTCAATCTGTGTCACAAAGACTGTCTCACTCTCTCTTTCACATAAAGGGTACGTCTAAACTACATGGCTCCGTCGACGGAGCCATGTAGTTTAGACGTACCCTTTATGTGAAAGAGAGAGTGAGACAGTCTTTGTGACACAGATTGAGTGTGTGTGGCACCGAGATAGGAGAGTGTGTGTGTCACAGTGTATGTGACTGTCTGTGCCACACACACACACAGTCACTGTATGGCACAGACTGTGTGTGTGTGCTGGCTATGTTTCTGAGAGGAGACATGATCTGCCCTGCTCTCGTCTCTTCTCTTCTCCCCCTCGGCACTCCTCTGACTCTCTGAGTCACATACTTTAGACTGGAGCAGCTCTGCTAACTGCGTGTCGGGAGGCTGCAGCGGCAGCACAGGCTCCCTGCTGTACAGGGGTGGGTGGGTGAGCTCCTGCTGCAGACCACCTGGGTCTGGGAGGTGGCAGTCCGTGGACCACACTTTGAGAACCACTGCTCTAAGGTGCTGCAGAACTATTTGTTGTTTCTTAAGCTTTTTGGGTGTGTCTAGCCTACATGGCTCCATCGATGGAGCCATGTAGTCTAGACACACCCAAAAAGCTTAAGAAACAACAAATAGTTCTGCAGCACCTTAGAGCAGTGGTTCTCAAAGTGTGGTCCACGGACTGCCACCTCCCAGACCCAGGTGGTCTGCAGCAGGAGCTCACCCACCCACCCCTGTACAGCAGGGAGCCTGTGCTGCCGCTGCAGCCTCGCGGTCAGTGCACAGCCACAGCACTAGCTCCAGCCAGCAGGCGGGGAGGTGAAGAAAGCAAACTCACAAACACACACCCTGCGCAGGCTGTGGAGCTGCACACGGAGGAGCCCCATCACCATGGTAAGAGCAGCACATCCATCGGTTGGTCCAGCGGGGCAGGCAGCAGGTTGGGCTGCATGGGGCTCAGCTGGGCGGGGTCAGCTGTTACGGTGCGCAAGTTGCCGATGCCTCCCCTTCCCCAGCAGCAGGTTGAGCTGCACCGTGCCCAGCAGCAGTGGGAGGAGATGATGCTGGGCCTGAGGACCCTGCACATACAGGAGGCAGGTGGGGGCTCAGGGCCCTTCGGGGCTTTGCATTCATGGGGACTTGGTCTGGGGAGAGGGACCAAGCCATCTCAGCACCCACCCCTGAGGGTGCCATGGACTGGACTCCTGTGAGACCTCAATCCCTGCAGGACAGGACACCCCGAGGTCACCTACTTGCCCACCCCCACCTCACTGAGCCATTCAATCCTCCTTGCCCCCTGCCCCTCCAT